TTATTTGCTATTGAAGTATGATTTATGATTTTATGTTCAGTGTGATAAAGACTCTATTCGCTAACTCTTTACGGCTTAGTCATTTGTTATTTGCTGGGATTTTATTTGGCTATTAATTCAATGTAGCTGATAATTTCTAATATATCCAAACGCAGTCACTATCTGCGATTTAGTGTTATTTTGTAGCGGTCTTCGAAACGCGACGTAGCACGTGTGATGTATGTTATTGAGTAGCAGCTGCTATTTTACATATTACCTGTGAAATATACCAAACCTAATCCCAAATAACTTGCAATCAATGGACTTTGAATTCAGAAATAATCATATTCCAACGGAATTATTATGACCCACCAATTTTCCCCAAATTGAATAAGTTTGGGGATATTGTCGTTCCGGGCAGCGTGCATTGTGACTTATTCGTGTCGTAGGGGCTTATTACACTATCCAATCATAATCTTGACCAACCTATTAATTTATGAAGATATTAATGCAGATATTTTTATTAGTGAAAAGGCTTACTACATTTTGTGCAGCTTAAAAAATAATCTAAAGAGATTCTCTCTTCGGTTTTAAATTGTATTAATGATTTAAAGTTTACCAGAGGGAGACTTTGTACAAAAATTGTTTGCTTGGGCATCTCTGTTCCATTCGTTTTTCTACTGTGAAGCAGTTGTATTTGCATGGCTGCGTTTTGGTTTGAAGGATGGGACATGGCAGTGAATTTACGGGGCACAGAAGAATAACACCTGAGTCCTCAGGAATGGCAACGCATGGGGGGTATCATGGGTGAAACAGTATACTCTGTTATGCATACTTTAAATTTAGTTTAATTGAACGGTTGTGTTTTATAATACCCTTACTAATATTATAAATGTAAAAAAGACATTATTTGTTTGTTACTTCTCAATACCTTAACAGCTTAAACAATCACTATAAAATTTGGTATACACATACTATAAGGATATAGGCTACTGTTGTTCTTGGCCAGTAAATATATTTTATTTACTTAACTTTTTAGTGCATCAGAAACAAAAATATACAATGACAAATAAACAATTCAAGTGATATACAGTAACATAAATTACAGATTAAAATATATAATATGTATATATGTATATAATATATACATATATATCCAAAGAATGTGGACGAAGACGCGAGTGAAAGCTTATAAGTCTAAATTTGTAACTGTATTCAAAATTTTTATTTGGCAAGACTATTTGTGTGAATGAATGAATAAACTTCTAATAATCCGGCGCTGATGGATGCAAAGTTATCAATACGATCGTGTTATATTTTCTTGGAATTATTGGTAATTTGACTTGAGGATATTTTTATAGAGAGAGAGAAAAAAGTAAGAAAATTTTGGTTAATATTAGAAAATTGGTAGAAAAGTAATCACAAAGTTGAAATTTTACGGGACACGTTCTTTGGAAATATCTTATTTATAGAATACTTGGAGAGATTGTTAGTTTGTGTTTGTTTAATGGTTTACTTGTCAATACACTTGCTCACGAGTAAGATGGGGAAATCAGTTACCAATGCGTTTCCTATTTGGAACGATTTTTTTTTGTAATTAAATCACATATAGACTTTAAATTACATAGTGATGCCCTGACTCCATTTAGAATAGCACCTATTTGGAATTTTTTTATTGTTTTTTTTCATGTAACTTCGAATGGCAAACAAGCTGACAGCCTACCTGATGATAAGTGGTAACCGTCACTTATAGACACGAGCAGTACCATGGACATGACAGAGTATACTGTTTCGCCCATGATCCCCCCCATGCTTTGTCATTCCTGAGGACTCAGGTGTTGTTCCTCTGTAACCTGTAAATTTACGCCATATCCCACCCTTCAAACCGAAACACAGCCATGCAAACACAACTGCTTTACGGTATGAAACAAGAATGGGACAGAAGTACCCAAGTAAACGATTTTTGTACAAAGTCTCCCTCTGGTATGTATAATCGAAAATCTAGATAATCGATTCCAAAATTAAATCAAACAATAATTAAAGTAAAAAAAAATATGTAAAGGGTTTTACATGTGTCATTTAAACGTAATTAAAGCCGTGTAGAATACGTCCGGATAATCGAAAATTCGAATAATCGATGTTCAGGTAATCGAGATTTTACTGTACTTGGAAATGCGTGTTTATGCTTATAAATCTACGAAATCTATTTAGATTCTGTAAGTAGATTTGGTTCACAATACGTAAAAAAATACTCTTTAAAGAAATTGACAGCATTCTACGTGGCAAAATTACACGTAATAATGAACCTACGCGTAAGTTTTTTTAATGGGGAAAAATTAATGAATGCGCTATCAGTATATGCTAACTGGACACCATTAATGGATGTTGGAGTTGAGGATGAAGCAGGCCAGTTAGCTCATTGTGATGAATTCATTAAGAATTCTTTCACCACGATCTTTTCCAGAGCGAACAGCATGTAAGTTTTAGTGCATGAAATCGGGGCACCAGTGAGTGGTGATAGGTGAGGATGAAATCAGGTCAGTTAGTTTATTGTAACGGATTCTGCAAGAACAAGTATTAATCATAATGGTTTCCAGGTGGAACCGCGTGGATGTCGATCTGACAGGGTATATTGTTAGCAATGGGGATTAATGTTCCCGTCACTAACAATCCTTATCCCCCATCATATGGAGATCGACTTGATAGGGTACCTATGTTACTAGCAATCTTTTCATTCCTTCGACGTGGGAGTAAACTTAATCATTTGTGACATACACTAAAGAAAAACATTATATACTTTAGTACTATTTTCCTGTGATCTCATTTTTTCTGTTACATGTGTGCTGTTAAGTATGTGTATGTATATATGTATATACATATGTTTGTATATGATAATATTTATATAATAGTGTGCCACCTACCCTTTGTCTTTTCCTCCATGTCCTCTACCCAAAGGTTGTCTGGAAGAGATTGCTTAGCGATAAGGCCTCCTTTTGTATCACTTCTCATTAATATTTACTGTATATGTTATTTCTCTTTTTACTTGAAGTCATAAATTAATAAATATATAGCTGAATTGAGAACTTCTCTCTTAATTACTTTGCACCTGCACTTTTGTTACTTAACAAACTGTAAATTACCTATTTAGCTCCAAATTGTAGAATGCCATTTAAAATTTCTATGCGAGACGTGGAATGTTCATTAATTTTCTCTTAAAAACAAACAAACAAGAAAATGAACGGGCAAGTAATTAACGGTTCGAAGCAATACTGTTTAATTAACTTTCAAACGACCTTATCGCCTGGCTAGTCTTTCTAGTGCTTTCTTGCATTTCTTAGTTGTAAAGAATTTTTAATTATTCATGCCTTGTATAAACTTATTTCATTATAAATCATTAGTTTTGCGGTCGCTCGGACGGTGTCTCTTTTGCATATTTATATTAATGATTACCAATGAGTGAGTGGGTGTGATAAGAAATATAATAATTGGAAAAAATGTTTTTATTTATTTAATTTATTTATTTATTCTTTATAGACCATATTAAAAAAAAATTGGTACAAAAGGCGGACTTGTTGTCCCCGTCAACATTTGGCAAAACCGAAATGTAGTTATATTGGGAAAAATTGGAAATATATTTGGATTTTTTTTTTGTGTAATATAATTTAATTTAATTTTTTATTAACAAAATTTCTGTTCTAATAATATTTTAAATATTTTATAGTACAAGTACATTCTTAGTTTCTTTGCTGAAAATGTTCCATTTATATTGTGGGGGATTTCTTTACAAAAAAAAACGTTAACCTTTCCGACGTCACCCTGTATATCACCCTTAGCTGCGTCACTCGAAGTTTGATAGACAGTCATTGTGAAACTTTCAACACATTCTCAAAAGTCCCATATTTGCAGCGAATAAGTACATTGTTAGCGCAATTTCTGGTGGCGTGCCAAGACTCGGTTGCACCTTGGCTGGGCGACGTGTTATTAAATCGATAATATATTTGAGTACGTCGTGGAAAATGAAAAATGTCCGTTGGAAAAATTACTATAGAGAATCGGCGGATTGTTCTCTTTGAATATTATTAAAATAGTAGCTGTCTCACGCGGCGTTGCTTGCATTTTTGTATATCATCATTAATATAGATAGATAGATACTCTTTATTGTTTCCTCCAAAAGATTACAATAGTAAACTTATTATAAATATAAACAATTACAAGAAATAATCACAATGAAAAAACAATGGGCGACCTTATCGCTAAGAGCGATCTCTTCCAGGCAACCTTTGGATGGAGAGGAGAGATAAACAATTTGGTGGGAGGCACGATGAAAATCAGCTATTAACTGTCCACTGCTGAACATAGGCCTTTCTGGTAAGAAGGGGTTTGACAGTAGTTACCACGCTTGGAAGGTGGGTTGGCAGCTGCAGTTTTTTTTAATGGGTGATAAAGGAATGGTAACTCCGCCTGTGCTATTGGTGGTTTGCTATTCTAAGCTGTATAAAAAAAAATCCCTTTCCCCTACTGGTTAGGTTTTGGTAATGTTTTAAAAGGGACGCTGCTGATCATCTCTCGACCGTTAAGTTCCCTCAGTCGCTTCTTACGACATGAGAAAGGAAGGGGTGCTTCATTCTAAGCCTGGATTCTATGTCAGGTGTTTTATATACGAACTAGCTGACCCGGTAAACTTCGTTCCGCCTAACTGCGCGCGGTACTGGACAATACTTGGGCATTGCAAGATTACTTTATTTTTCTAAAATAAAAGAATTTTTCTAAAATAAACGTAGCCTAAGTTATTCCTTATTACATCAGCTACCTACCAATAAAAGTCCCGTCAAAATTGGTCCAGCCATTTCAGAGATTAGCCAGAACAAACAGACAAAACTTGTAAAAAATGTTATTTTGGTGTATGCACCGTATATATATTCATATGCATGTAGTAAAAAAACGGTTATTTCAATATTACAAACGGACACTCCAATTTTATTTATATGTGTAGATAATAAATAAATATTGTTTGTTCACAGGCGTACCACGTCTGCCACGATGGTCGCGAGGGTCATCAGGGTGCGTCGTTCCTGTGCACCAACGGGACACTATTCGATCAGACCAAGTTCGCCTGCGATTGGTGGTACAACGTGGATTGTTCTCAAGCTGTCCAGCATTACAAGTGAGTGTTTGGAGAGAACAGAATAATCCACTTTTTTTTCTTGTTACCTTTGTCCACTTCTTTTTTCTTTTTTATTTAAGAGCTGCGCTCTTGTCGGTGGAGCTCTTGCCACTCACTACGATTTTCAGCGAGTCTCTTCACCTCTTGATATATATATATATATATACACATATATATCTTTCTTTTAGGATTGGGAGAGAATGCTTTCAGTATTAAATCCGCCTTGTACACATAATGAATAAATAAATGAAATATATCTTTTGTTATTATAAGGCTATTGTATTTAACCTGTTATGGACTGTTTCAGGTTAAACGCCGATCCGTTGAAAAACCCATACGTGCCAAAACCGAAGCCCGAGGAACAAGAATACGCGCAAGGAATATACTATAAGAATGTATAGACTCACTCCATATTAATGTATCCTATTAATGATATTTTAAACCTTACATGAGTTGAAATAAAGTCGCGTCGAAGAATACGCGAAAATATATTTTAGGAACCTGTAGAAGTTCATTCCATAATTATCATAATTATCATTACAGCCACCTATCATTCATTACTGAATTTAGGTCTCTTTCATATTTCGTCACAAAGTAGAATCCTGCGCCACTTAATAAATAGCAAATCGATTTTTTAATATTTATTTATTTTTTAATTAAAAAGATTTACGTCTCATTCACATTGCATTATAGGATTAAATAGATTTTTTGGTAATTAAAAAAAAATGAAGGATATTAAATTAGCTTTATTTATTATTTTATTTAATTTTTTTTTATTATAACTCATTCCAATAACTTTTTTGTAGCACGTTTGCTGATTTTACACTATTATACTGATTATCTATTTAGTTTTAGTGTTTATTGTGATAATTTTTTTAATTATAATGCGTTTTTATAAAAACTATATATTTTTTATTGCGTTCCGTATAACGCAGCATTGCATTGTATAATAGATTAACAACAATATTTCAATGTCTAAGCACAGTGTAAGGATAACCAGTAGACAATCTTTTGCTATGGTCCGGACGATTATTTAACTATACGCATTTCTTTATTTAGACGTCTTCGTCGGATCAAAGAGTTATTTATACTGTGACGTAACAATATATAATATATAATACACACCTGCAATGCCGCTGGTGTTGTGGGTGATCATGGGCGGCGGTAGTCACTTACCATCAGGTGAGCCGCATGCTCGTTTGCCCCCTGTGTTGTAAAAAAATATATATATATGTTTAAGATATATTTATTATTATTTTTTTTCTGTCTATAAAATACTTGTGTATCTCACTTACATGCGATTGTTAATAAGTTGTATGATACACGATATAAGTATTTTCAATAGACTTCAAAACAGGTGGAGGTTTACAATCCAGTTATTTATTTTTATATTTGTTATCTTGTGTTTCTGTCATTTAGGTATAAATTGTTTTGACAAATTCTTTTTTTTTTTTATCTGAAAGGATCCAATTTAAGATTAATATCGTAGATATATTATTAAAATCATATCAGTAATTTACTTTTTATATTGTAATTATGTATGATAATGATCAAAATGATTGAATTTGGTTTTTTAACATATTTCAAAAAGAAGGAAGTTCTTTGTTTGTTTTTATGTTTGTTACGTGATAAAAATGTTTGGCGGACGTAGTACTATATAGCATTCACCAGTCAATCTTTGGCAAAATAGAAATGCAATTTTGAGGTATATATATATATATATATATATATATATATATATATATATATATATATATATATATATATATATATATATATATATATATATATATATATATATATATATATATATATATATATTCTCTTGCATTATATCCTTTCAACTAAACTTCAGTTTGTCTTCTAATTTTCTAGATATATGTTATACCCTTTAAAAACAAGTTGTAAATGAATATATTGATAGTACGTTTATTCGTTAGCATTCATGTGAGAAAAAGAGACCAGATATTGCTGTTTCGTTCTATCTCACGTACGTGTGCGACGACGATCTACGTCTATCGATAAATTTCTTTGCCATTTATCTGTAACGACCTTCTATTAACAAAACTTTTATGGGAATAATTTAAATGAAATATATGAAACTATAAATCTTCTTTATCATATTACTATTTAATTACTATATGTTACACATAATAATAAGTTGGTAAATTATTAAAAAAGATATATATTTTGTTTATACAAATAAAAAAGTATCGGTTTTAAAACATAAATTAAATTTACATAGGTATTTATAGAGATTAAATTTTATTTCATAAAAAAAGTGCGTTTCGTTTTAATCAAATATTCATTCCTTTCTTGTATAATTTTTGTGTAGTGAAATAGTTTGTGAAAGTGGTAACCGTCGCCTCTAGACATGAACAGTACCATGGACATAACAGAGTATACTGTTTCGCCCATGATACCCCCCATGCGTTGCCATTCCTGAGGACTCAGGTGTTATTCCTTTGTACCCTGTAAATTTACGCCATATCCCACCCTTCAAATCGAAACACAGCCGTGTTATAAACATTTCATTAATCTTTATTAGTAAACTATTTAAAATATTCTTTAATGGTCATTTATATTAATGACATTATTATGAAAGTGTATGTGTGTGTGTGTGTGTGTGTGATTTTATCTCCTTAATAACTTATCCAATTATCAAGAAATTTAGCATTTAGGATGAAGAAGAACGTAGATTACTTTTTATCGTGGTAAATCAATATATTTCAGCTCGCTAAAATGTATGAAATCTCAAATTACGCAGTTTACATAAAATATTGAAAAATTGCGTAAAGTAACCACAAAAAAATGAAACTACTCAAATGCGAGTTAAACTCATACGCCGAGGGTTCCGTACATTAATAAATAAATATGAAATAAATTGATCTTTATTGCATTTCCCATACGATACAGCAACGTCATATTTCTAGAATATTCAGTTGTTTTATCAGGTTGAATATTACTGTAATAAAATAAGGATAACACTGCCCCAGTCCATAGCTCGAATGCCGACACATCAGATAACGATTGATTTATACGGAGCCGGCCTTTGGATAATAACTTCAAGCCCCCATTTGTTTTCGCTCATGTAAATCAATAAGTAACACCATTTAATATAATATTCATATAGAGACAGTCAAATTTAATTAGAAATCAATTTGGATAATATTTGAATTTCGAACGCAGAATCAAATGTTGAAATAATTAATTTAAATTTAGAATTTTAAATACAATCAGTTCATTTTAATTTATAATAGGTTACTTTAATCGTAAGCACGCACGCACACATGTTCGCCTTAAGCCCGATTTTTTTAAATGTTTTTTCCTCATAACTCCGTTAATTATAAACCGATTTGGATTTTTTTTTCTAAAAGGATATTATTACAGATTGGTCCCATGGAAATTTTATAAAAATCTACTTTATTTGTTTAGTTTTTAAATCAAATTAATTATTTTTGTCACAATTGAAGTCAAATTTCTCAGTTAGCTATGGAGAGGATTGTGCTCAGAGTTTCTTTACGTGATAGAATTCGAAATGAGGATATCCGCAAAAGAGCCAAATTTACCGACATAGTCCCGAATGATAAGCAAGCAAGCGACAAGCGATGGGGAAGAAAAGTTCTTGAGTGACGACTCCATAGAGGCAAACACAATGTAGAATGATCCCCACTAGATGGAGTGTTGATCTCAAATCAAATTAGGGACGGGAGTCATTGGATATAGGTGGCTCAAGATTGTTCTTTATGGCAGTCTATGGGGGCCTATGATCATTAGTGGACAGATAATGGCTGAGATAATGATCATGATTTTAATGATGTAGTACATATAGTATGTATAGTTTTTTTATAACACTATCCTAAATTGTATATGTTAAAGATATAATTATAACATGAAAAACATTAGGAAAACCTTTGTTTCACCTGTAAAGTTAATTATAAGAGAAATGTAATTTGTTACATGCTACAGCAACGTTATTAAATTTATGAAATTTCGGAAATGATGGTCTTTAGGGTTCCGTGTCGGGATCGAACCTAATTATTTTTTTTTACAACACAGGGAGCGGCGGCTCACCTGATGGTAAGTGACTACCGCCGCCCATGGTCACCCACAACACCAACGGCACTGCAGGTGTGCTGCCGGCCTTTTAAAAAGGAACATGCTCTTTTCTTGAAGGTTATGATATCGTATCGGTTCGGAAATACTGCTGCTGATTCCAAAAAAAAAAATTTTTCTCTAATAATAAATCTTTTTTGGATCATGTAGGTATTTACTTATGTATTTTGAAATTTGATAGTATTTCAAACACATCATATCGAATTAAAATTTCAAAATTAGCCACGGAACCCTATGGGACAGATAACGCTCTTGGCGTCTCTTTTAAAACAAATTGAAGTAAAATATCCTGTTTTGTTTTCATTAACAAACGCATTTAAATTAATTAATTAGATAAACAGAGCATACATTTTTCATTACGTTGTGCGACATAAGCGTTAATGGTTCTTTTTCAACCGACTTCAAAAAGAAGGACTTTGTACAAAAGTCGATTGCTTGGGCACCTCTGTCCCATTCGTGTTTCAACCGTGAAGCAGCTGTGTTTGCATGGCTGTGTTCCGGTTTGAAGGGTGGGATATGGCGTGAATTTACAGGGTACAGAGGAATAACAGTCCTCAGGATTGAGTGAGTGAGATTTTTTGTTGCTCATGTCTATAGGCGACGGTTACCACTTTCCATCAGGTGGGCCGTCAGCTTGTTTGTCATTCGTTTGTATTTTTTTTTACGTTTGTAACCTCATAACTCCATCAGTTGTAAACTCATTTGAAAACTTCTTTTCTAATATGAGGGAATATACTTACAAATTTAATAATAAGTATACCTTAAAGAATTCACCACCGTACAACCCGCCATAAACTAAAATTTCATCCCAATCATCTGGACGAGCGGCGGTCCTCCACCGTGCGTTTTTCAAGGCACTTTCTCCAACGCACAACCACTCTTTGGAATCAACTTCCAGCAGCAGTATTTCCGAACCGATATGACAACATAACCTTCAAGAAAAAAGTATATTCCTTTTTAAAAGGCTGACAGCACACCTGCAAGGAATAAAAAGAGATATTTTTAAGAGGGACGTTGCTGCCCATCCTACACCCTCCGTTAGTCGCCTCTTACGAATGACACCCACGGGAAAGGAAGAGATGGCCCATTCTATTCCAGGGCACACATGGCACACACAATTCCATTATCAACCAGTAATTAGCTTTGTAACGTTTAACGCCCATTTCCATGAGAGACCAAATTAAATTTTCGAAACATAAACAAGTTGTATACCTTATTATAAATAGAAAAGAAGTTAGTTACTGCCTTCTACTCTACGAGTAGTAATAATTCATATTAAAAACGACTTATTTATTAATATTATTACCATAATGCAATCATCACACCATTTTTGTCATAAAGTCTTACCGCGCGCCGTCGTTAACGGGAGAGTAATTAACTAAATGTTCATTAAACTTTTAAATTAAACGGCTGTTGATTAATATTGGAAAAAAAAAGTGTACACCCCTTCCCAATCGAGGGCTATCGGCACGGCGAAGTATTTTAATTAATTGAATTAAATTTTTGCCACGCTCCGACGAGCCGACTTTTATTTCATTAATAGATATTGCGAAATTTTTCATGGCTTACGTAATGAAAGCTGCACTAAAATATTTATGTGTTTTAAAAGTTTGAAATTGAGAAAAAGTAATATTAGACTTTGTAAAATCGACTACAAAAACAAAAAAGGGATGGAAAAGGGTAGTATGCATTCGTAATATAAGTGGAAAATAAGAAACATAATTTTCCGTTTACATAACGTTTGTATAACATGTTTATATTTTTTATTTATTTTATACTTTATAGACCACGAATAAAATATGACTCCTTAATAGAGGTGCGATTTCATATTATTATATTTTTTTTTTATATGATTTTACCTCGCAAAAAATACGCCTTTAATCATAACAAAATTAATATAGATCTATAGTAACATAGAGGATGGATGAAAGAAGAATTACGAAAGAGATTTATCGAGCAAGAATGAATGGAGACATCGGTAGGGGCCGCCCTAGACGGACGTATGTTGACCAAATAGGCGACGTGCTGAAGAAGGGCCAAATTAAAAGTACCCGTAACCGGTGAGCGTGTATGAAAAGATTGATGAATGTGGGAGAAGCGAAGAAGGTTTGTTTGAATCGAAGTATTTGGCGTTCCATTGTTTCTGCCTACCCTAATGGGAGACAGGCGTGACAGATATGTATGTATGTATGTTACATATGCTGTATGATTTCGTCATTTAATAGGTCACTATTTCTTTCCCATGAGTGTCGTAAGAGGCGACTAAGGTAACTTAATAGTTGAAGGATGGGCAGCAGCGTCTCTCTTAAAACATCACCAAAGTCTACTGTTGCCAATCCACCTGCCAAGCGTAGCAACTACTGGCAAAACCTTTTCTTACGGGGAAAGGTGCATTCAGCAGTGCACACGTTCAGCAGTCTCAGCAGCAGAGTGTAAAAGCTGATATAATAATAATAAAAATTATAATAAATGTAAAAAACATTTATATGAAAGTAAAAGTTATTTTTTATGTTTATTGATTCTATACGAATTTGGGTGCTTTAAAAATGTATTTTTTTTTCTTTACAAAATAAAGTACATTCAAGT